AGCAGCATCTTAAACCTTCATTATGTTATTCCGCAGTTTTTATTTGTTTTATCTGTTGTTTTTCCCCTTTTTCCGCAATTGTTAGACTTACCTAGTCGTAGAGACTAGGTGCCGTCACGATAGTTCACGGAGGGCGAACTGGGGTCGTGACAATAACCCATTATTTAAGGTAAACAAAAATGAATGAATTTCATAGTTCTATTGAATATTACATCCCATGAGAGGATCTCAAATATTTCTAGATATATTTTAAAGAAAATTCTATATAAAGTCTTAAAAATAAATATAAAAATTATATATTTATATATCGGTTTAGTTCGGGGGTTTTTTACTCAATATCAAACTAAATCAAACCAAACCTAATCGGGAGTTTTATTCGATTTGGTTTGATATTTCGGTTTGGCGCGATTTTTTGGTTCGGTTTGAATACCCCTNTGCCACTATTTTTATTTTCTTTTGGAGCGATTGTCCGTGAAGCAAAAATCACGTGCTTACACCCCTAATTGCTTGTAAGACATAACTAAACCATGTCAAATAAGTTAGCAGAATCGTTTGTTGGGTTTCAGTTAAAACTGGAGTGAATGTGAAATGGAGGAAAAAATAAAATTTTGATTTTCTCTTCTTTACAAAGGAACATTGTCCCATATCGGAGGAGGAAAGCTTTTTTGTTGAGTATATGTAATTACACTTCTTCTACCTTTTAAAGAGTTGACAAGAAGGTCAAATGATCTTATTGATTGATTAATTTTTTGGACCAAAGTTATTTGATAATAAAATTAAATTAATATTTTTAATCCAAATCAATCGTTTACGTAACTGTAATTTAAATTTCCTCCGGTTTGAATTTCTCGTTTTATTTTGCGTAAATAGCCATTAACGTAATAATTGTTTTACGCGAAAGGTCATCTTGAAGAGTTGCACCTTTTCGTTTGAACCCAAACTGTTGCCTATAAATACAGGTCATTCCCTCAGATTCTCCTTACGAAATTTCTGAAATCTCTTCTTACTTTCTACGTTGTTTTCTTACAAAACATACAAAGTAAGTGTGATTGTTTGACATTTGTGTTCGCTGAAACACTGGGGTTTGAAGTACTGCTACACTAGTGTGTAATCCGTTCTATTCTGTGAGGAAATTATCCATAACCTCAGGTACTAGGAGGGAATTAAGTTCCTTAAAAAAACACTATGAATTTTGTAAGTTAGGATTAATGTCCGCTTCTTCTACATTTCTGTGCTACATTATTTTCTGTTTCCAGAAATACTTACAAATACAAATTACTAACATCGTTTAATTTTAATCAAATTTTCAAGTATTTTATCTCAAAGGCAAGTAATTGAGTGGCATTGTATCAGGTTCGTCCTGCATGGTGCTTGATCATTTGTATTTCTAAATTCAAACGTAGCTTTTTTCAGGAGATTAAATATTTAAATAACAAAGTAAATTAGAGTTTTAACATTTGAAATGATATATCGCTAATTATCTGTTAGATGATAACATTTTCAGATACATATGACTTAATTTAATCGGAAAATCAACTACCGTTCTGGTTCATAAATTAGTATATAACTATATATATAGAGAGAGTTATAAAGCGTGTGCTGTTAACATTTCTTTCAGTCCTTTTTTCTCTAAAAGATCATATTATATTGAATCTTATTGCTTTTCATTCACACACACAACGTGGATATTAGTTCCCACCCTTCCCCAACAAATAATCCTTCACTGCTTTAAAATTTCAAGCTGAAAGTGCGATACATTTTTATTATGTTACCTAGCCAAATCCCCCATTTCATGTGCCAAAGTTCTTCCAAACACACGAGAGACCATGTATATATAGGTGGACTAACTTCTGCCAAGATTGGTGTCAAATTAAGAGGATACACTTTCAGGAGATGGCGCTTTGATGACCTCTTTTCCCAACAAACCCATTCCAATAATTTTCAAACGTACCTGCTTTATACTAGTTGAGTTGCATAAATGTTATTAACTGCTCTCATTTGTAAAAACTTTGGAGTTTGAAGGACACAGTCATGTTTGTCTCTTTTCTTTGATATACTCTTTAAGTTTATAATTTTGGATGTTGGTAACATTGTAAGCAAAATCTCACATCTAACAAAATACTGAATTATAGCAAAATCTCACATCTACTACTAGATTGGATTGTTACAAATATACTTAATCATGAATTGTTGAAATTCATGCTAATGTCTGCACCGATGCTCGTTGAATTGTCACCTATTGGTCATTAAGCTATTCTCTTTAGTTAGAAGTTTAACGTTTTTCTTTAATTATTTTCTCAAATAATTATGTATCATCAGTAAAGTAGCATAGTAATTTAAATGAATTAGAATTCGGCTAAATTTGAAATTATAATCTCCTAGTATTTGGATGTTATAATTGATTCCTTGAAATTCAAGATTAAAATGATTTATTTAAATAATTAAAAGATCTATGTTGGATCTTAGCGTTCTAAAAATAAATAGAAAGAAGCTGCATCAATTCAATTACATCGTGAAAAATGGGACAAAATATCGTGTGAATGACGGCTAATATTAATGAGGCTGACCATGTGGGTGTAGACAACGAAAGTAGATAGGCAACGATACGATATATGCATTTCTTAATCCATTTTCTTTTTCATCTCACCTATTCTATTTCTAGGTGCAATGGATGTTGGTAAAGATGTTAAGAGTGGCATTAAAATACTCTAATTAGTTGGAACTTGAAAACCTAAAAATAGAAACTAAATGGCGACATTTTGATGACACAATTCCCATTAAACATGGAAATGAATTTCAGGTCTTAACTAAGGCGCAACAGCACAATATTGATGGCTTTTGACTATCCATCTGCCTTTTGTATTTGATGACTTTGATCTCCTTTATCTCTTCACCTGGTCATCCGCTTGAATCTGCTTCCTTCTCCTCTTCATCCCAAAAAAAAAAAAAGATGAATTAAACTAATGGATTTATAATATTAATTTTTATATGAATTTTATTATTAAACCATTGTTTTTATATGTACTTTTAACTAAATTTGTGATAACTTAAACATAGTGTATTACTTCGTAAAAAAGCTATGGTAACTCTTTCTAACCTAATAGTAGTGCTTCACTTGTTGAAGGAAATAATATACTAATTCTTTTCTCTCTCCCTCTTTCTCACACACAATTAAGATGAAGAGAGTGATTTTCACCTAAAAGTAATTTACTTTTAAAGATATTTATTATGTTTAACTTCTCGTCAACCTGACCAGAGTAGTAAAAATTAGTATATCCTAATAATAGTCTACGTCCATTGGGAGTTGAACGAAATTAAATTGACATTTTTCTTCCTATTTCATGTTCGTTATTTGTATTGGGTTCGACTAAATTTGAATTCGCGTCGAGAAAGTCCCACATTGGAGGTAAATCGCTTTCTAAAAAAGGCAACTCTACGTCCAAAGCTCAAACCCAAATTTCTAATTGAGAATGAAGGAATACTTATCATCCCACCATAATTTCTGTCGGTACATGATACCTCTTAAACAGCACACTAAAGTGATTTTAAACCATTAGCGAAAGTCATTGACTTTGAAGATGAACAATGTCTACATCAACTTAATAATTACATGGTAACTCTTAAAACAGCACACTAAAGTGATTTTAAGCCATTAAAGAAAGTTTAAATAAAATAAGCGTCACTCATGATGAAAAGACACTTATTTTTTTAATCGAACTTTAAACATTATTGGGTTAGTTTATACAAATCTAGAAACAGTCGAATATGTTGTCAGTAGAACACAGATAATATATTACTACATAGTATTGTATATATACAGTCTAGCGGCTTCGTTTTGCCACAACAGTACCATATGGTCCTCGCGCTTATCTCTGAACCAAAGGAACGTGATAATACTATTCTTTTCATTTCTTATACTTATTTTATTAGTCTTCTCATTGTACAAAGTCATACTGGTCATGATATAATGTGGATTCCACCTCATCATTTTTGGAGTTGCGCTCAAGAAATGTTTTTTAATTTTTACACCCTTGTTGCTCAAGAATATCTTGATCACTTGGATATGCCTGAATATTCCTATGGTACACACCATTAAGGTACAACAATGAAGAACATCCAATTGTAGCTTCACCATTTATAAATTCACCTCTCTTACGCAAGTAGTTATGGTCATTAATATATTATAATAATATATAATTTTTGTGATTTAGAGAATCTTAATAGCTCAGTTAACTACCTAAACTTTTACTTTATTGGTGAGGATTCGATTCTCTACTTTATAATTTCTCCTCTCCCCCCTCCCCTTCAAAAAAGAAATCCCCTCTAAATTTTAAAAAAGAAATCTTTGTAATTTAGCTGTAAAGTGAACTAAAATGAACATTCACTTGACAACAACTGTTAGATACAATGTTATAGTAACCATAATTTATAAACTTTCCTCTTTTAGGTAAGTATACGTAGTAGAAATAGAATAATAGCAATTCATTGGTTACATCGATATCCTTTGTAATTTAGTTACCTTATAAAGTGAATTAACATCAATATCCATTTTTGACCGCTTCTGTAAGACAAGTAACATATTAATGTGTGGAATATATTAGTAAAATAAATTGGAAAAAACTATGATATCCTATATTTCAAATTTTAATATACTAACTAAGCTTTTTAACATATCTTTCCGGATTCTGTGTGAACACAAAATATCTTATATCTCAGGCTTTTTTTTTGGCTAACCGAAAAAAAAAAAAAGTTAAAGGCAATATAAAATTTAGAAGTAACAACAGAAAGTTCATTGAAAAAAAGGTCATAATTTTAAATTCCATTTATTGGATTCCTCTATTTTGTTCTCTATGTAAAAGAAAGTTTTCTTTTATAAGTAATAATCACAAATTTCTTTTATCCATAGATATAAAATAATAAAAATGGGTTGGTCTGATCTCATAAAAGGATAAGCTCACCACGAAACGGGGACCCCACTGGTTAAACAATGGAGGAGCGATACCTTTCTTTTCCAATGCCACCTTCGTAAGCACTAATAAAGCCCAGCCCCGCACCCAGAGTATAACTAGAAAAACGGAATCTTCTCCCTTCTCTCTCCTCCATCTTTTCCCTAAAACTATTTGTCGCTCTCCCCTTTCTCGTATTTAGCCATCAAATCAACTCAAAATCCATTCCATTTGTTTCATCACTCAACTTATGGAAAGTACTTTCTATAGCTACTCTACAGTTGCTTGAACTTTTTTAATCCGTTCCAGAGGAGAGGAGTTTTTGCAATTGTGTGTATGCGTTTTTGTTGTTGTTGTTGAATGGCGATGGACGATAACGAGAGTTGCGGAAGCAGAGCGATGGAGCCGTCGTCGCCGAAACAAAATCGGTTACATAGGCAGAAGCTTGAAGTGTTTAACCAAGTGCTTACTCGACTACAGGATTTGAATCTCGAAGAGGTTAAACTTCCTGGCTTTGAAGACCACCTTTGGCTTCACTTCAATCGCCTCCCTGTTCGGTTAACTTCATAAACCCTACCTTTCCTCATTTTTCGGTTACCTTGTGTTTTTTGGCCATTTGTCAAATTTTTTCTGGTTTACTCAGTAATTGATCGAATTTTCCGCCTATAAAAGTTAAGTTTTTTGGTACTGAATTTGGATGCCTGCAGATATGCATCGGATGTTAATGTGGAAAGAGCAGAAGATGTGCTCATGCATAAGAGATTACTGGACCAAGCAGAGGATCCTGCGAATAGACCTGCCTTTGATGTCCGCCTTGTGCAGGTTATACAGCCATCTGCTTTTCCTACATTTTTATGCGTGTATGTCCTATCATTATCAATGCTCTTTTTTCTTTGGTATCTCTGAAAACTGAGCACGTAGAAATGACATTTGAACAAATTCTCCCTATGTATGACAAAGAGGAATCTCTACTTGATCTTACTTGAATAAGTTGGGGATTTGATGCAACACATAAGGTGTTTCCAAGAAGCACAGGGTCTATTATTTGGAAACTAGTAAATTAGCCAATAATCTCTTCAAAGCCATATTTTTTTCTTTTCATCCATCCCAAACTTCTCTTGCATTCTGTCCTAGGAGGAAACGGAGAACTCTCTTGGGAAATAATGTAGTAAGGATAGCAGCTTATTAATATTTCCTAATAAATTATTGAAAGAATGTCCTTTGAATTAATTTGAATATGCCGTGGCTCTTGTTTGTGTAGTTTATATAGTGGGCTTGACGATACATAATAATCCTTTAGTTCACTTCATCCTTCTTGAATAATAGGGACATATGTGTGGCTTAATGAGTGTGTCATTCACAAAAATGTAACATGTACATTTAAAAGTGTGAATTTAAAAAGATTTAGGCATAAAGACTTTTGTCTTCGCACATCCTCTCAGACTCTTTTCCTTGTTTTGCTTCTCACAGTTAAGATATAAGTGTTGAACTGTACATATCTTGATTACACTATCTAGGCCGAGTTCTTATTTGGTTAACCTTTAATATATAAGGTGTTGAGAATTATCTTCATCTCTTGGCTAAGCTAGTCAATCTATGGCGTTCATTGAGTTAATTCAGTAATATATCATGTAATGCAAAATTAGTTTTAGGTAGCTCTTATGGAGTGGCTTGTATGCTTCTGGTCTGAGAATTTTCTAAATTTCTTAGGAAGACAAGTTAAAGCTAGAAGATTGAGCCTTGAATCTTTGAGGCATCCAATGGGTTGTGTCTCTATATCCATCTCCTTTGAGTGGGTATGCATTAGATGAAGAGTTTAGATTTAGATCAAGAGACTTGAATGACTATGGAAATCATGTCATTTCTAAGCTCTTTTTAACATTAAAGACTGTGAGACAAATTACAGTAGGACTTTACAAAATCAGGCTTACTACCAAATTCGGGAAGTGCGCTTCTGCCTAGATATGTGAGACGAGATGGAGGAAAGAGGAGATGTCCAGATATATAAACCAGCAGAAGAAAAAAGGGGGTGATTGCCAACTTGAAGGTCATTAGCAAAGATTTGATCATAACTGCAACTTTAGAATGCGTGGCCTAACTCAAGTTTTTTTTTGTAATTTGAAATATTCACATGCAAGTTCTGACTTTAAGTTCATAATGTAGGTTCACCCCATGTACAACGCAGTTTCAACCAATACAGTTGATGTAAATTCTTCCGTTAAAGATGAAATTCCAAGGTATTCTCTTTAGTTTAAGCACTAAAGTTACCTATTGTTCAATATCATTTCTTTTTGTGTATTATTTTTGCACCTGTGATTTTTCTCTAGTGTGCTCCCTTAAGTAGTTTAATTGTTTTTGTGTTGCCATCTTGTTTTCCCTCTCCAGCATTCATCCTCCTCCAACATTTGGTTCATCACCAAATCTTCAAGGCCTTGAAATTCATGATAATAAAGCTCATATAAATCATGGAGAAAGTGATATCAATTCTACTTCGCGGTCAACCAGGTAAAATTCTCCATAATGCTTGAGTTGGTAAATGAATAAGATTTATGATGCTAGTAGTTGGCATTGTAGCTTTTCATACTGAGTTTCTTTTGTCTTTGGAGAGGATTTCTAATTGACTTTTCTTTCCTAGCAATATTCTTATGTGCCAATTGATTTTGTGCAGGCCAATGCACGAGATTACTTTTTCAACAATTGACAAACCAAAAACGCTCACTCAGGTGCCTCATTCTTTTCAGAATCGTCCTCCCCTTTTTTTCATACATGCTTTCTTCTCATCTCTTATATTCTCATAATAAAATACAAACTGTAGTTTCATGAATTTACCGTATGCAAATCTAGTGCGAATTTAACAGGAAATAATGTTAAGACCCTTAAATTCCTTAAAGTATCTGACATTGGACTCGCTTCTAATAACTAAAAATAGCCTCATTCTTGCTTAATAAGCAAGGAAATAATGACCTTTATCCAAATAATACAGCTGATATTTTCATAAACTACTTCTCCAGCGTATAATATAGAATAAGCGTCTTAATGAAGATAAAAGCTAATAGAAGACTATGGTGAAGGGGAAACAGAGGATAATACGGAAAAGTTATTGTATGGGCCCATGGATTGATTGTATGATTAACTTCTGAGCCTAATAAAGTAGGGAGGGGTTTATTCAGTTAACCTAACTATCAAAAATATTTGCAGTCATGACCATCAACTTTTCTGATACAATCTTGTTCCAAATTAATACTATAAGAAATCTCTTAGGGAAATGGGCACGCCTATTTGTGAAATGCAGTTGGTATTTGTACTTTCTGTAGTCAGCATTGTATTGCCGTTACTGATATAGGGAGTCTTTATTGTTAGATTTGTTCTGGGAATCAGGAGTCAGTAGTGGGAGTGCAGGAATATGCCACTTCAGTGTGTCAAAGATCTCGCTGAATGCTCTTTTTTTTTGTATATATATTTTATAAATAAGTAGCTCTGCAGAAGTTCACAAAAAGATTCCAAAGGAAAAGATGAAAGGTGTTAATGGGCTACGATAACAGAGCTTCAAATGAGAAGGAAATTAGGGTAGTGGAAAGTCCCAGGATCAGTCCATGGAATCTAAAGATTTGGGTTGTGATTACATTGCATATCAATCTGTGAGAAAATAAGAGAAAGAGAAGAAATGTATTGATGACTTGTTGATCTTATGGATGCAAGATACATTCTTATGAATGTTATTTATAGGTTTAAACACAAAACACATATATTATTTGTATGATGATATCTAATTGAAAAACTTAGCTCTTCTAATATTTTAATTCTAACATTCTAACATCACCCTTTCAGACTCAAGGTTGAGATTTTGAAAGTATAGAAAAGTAAACGGTCTCCGAAATGCGGCTTGAACACTGTCGCTTGAACAGTTTCTGAAAACCTGCGGGAAGGTCATTGGAAAAGTTTAGTCACTTGAATTTGTTGGAAAAGTTGTTAGAAGTCGTCGAAATATTGACCAGAAGAGTGATCTGAATACTGTTGGTTTTGTGACAAAAAGTGGCAGTGCCACTATAGGTAACAAGATGCTGTTGGAATAGTCATCTGAAAGGGACGGTTTAGCAGGAAACAGGTAGTGTCTCCCAAAATTTGAGTTGTCTTGTCTCACTGGAACAAACATCGGAAATAAATGCGACGGCACAGAAATATTTACCTAAAAGAGAAAATAATAATAAAATTATGAAGAAAATTTTAACTTGGGCGATATAAGACTGTCCATTAGTAAGGAGAAACTACTTAAGCTTTTACCTAGAGGCTCTGATACAATATGAGAAAATAATAGAAGACAATAGATGTATCCATAACTTGATACTTTGATAAATAACAAACACATTTATTTTGTGGTGTCAAACACAATTAACTTGTGATATTTTCTAGAGATGGGACAATAACAGGAATACAAGGTTTGTACGATGAATAGCCCCCAGGGATTTGGTTTAGTGGTAAGAGCACAGCGCAAGACGTATGGATTTGACCCACGTCAAGGGGTTTGAACCTTGCTGCAAACACAAGCCTAGTATTTAAGTGGAGAAGGATAGAGGAGTGGAATCGTTGTCCATTGAGTTTCAAACCGTGCGCCACTGGCCCTCGAGGATTTCTCAGTTATGAAAAAAGAGGTTTCTATGATGAATTGTACAATGCCTAACCTTTCTCAATGGTTTCTGTTTTCGGAATATGAAAATATCAGATTGACCCAAACACCTGAAAGTAATTTACATTTTGCTTTAAATCATATAGATTCTCAAAAAAGAGATCTTTCTTTACCTGGCGCTGGAGGCAAACTGTTTATTACATGGCATGCACATTGAAGACTTCAGCCCAAAGACAGATTTCTGTGTCTGTGAAAATGCGACGCCAGTTATTCCTACAAATTCAAATAGTCTCTGTTAAAATATTGTGACAGTCTACCTGGATTGAAATCTGTATTTTTTATTCACTCTCTGTCTCATGGATTTTAAGGTTATGTTGTCGATTGAATTGTTCATATCTATGCAGTCCTGAAAGTTATATAACTTCATTAATCTGCAGAAGCTGCAGATTTCAGAGTTCTATTAAACATATCTATCTTATCATGTTAACTTTGTTCTTATCTTGTTCAATTTTATTGACATCAATCCTGGATTTCCAGTTGACTAATATAATTTCTGAGATTGGTCTGAACATTGAAGAGGCCCATGTTTTTTCAACTACTGATGGTTTCTCCTTGGACGTCTTTGTGGTTGATGGATGGCCATATGAGGTATAGTATTAATGTTTCTTTCAAGATATAACAAAATGCTTGCTGACAGTTAAAAGTCTTCTCTTAGTTCTACAATTATAGTCTAGTTATATGATCAACATACTTTTTATTCGCACCGACATAAGTTAAAAGATGAAAAGTTTTGCCTTTGCAAGTCTCAGTTAATTCCTCTTTTCTTGTTAACATGTATAAGTTTTGAAACTATGCTCCTTATTCATCTAGTAGATTGTTTGTCAGTTTTGTGCTTGTTCTGCCCTTTTCCCAATTTATTTGGCTCTATTTCAATTTTGGACATCCTGATATTTTTGGCACCATTTCATTCATGTACGACTTTCAAGAATTCAGACTCATTTAAACTAGTGATGTGATTGTTTTTCTATCAATCATTTAAACCAACTTTTCAACCATCACTTTAGTATTTTCTTGTATGTTAAATTAATATCTTATGCTCTGTCCCCAGAACAATGTCGTCATATAAAATGAGACAGAAAGAATGCACGACTTTATGGGTGTGTTTGGTACGAAGAAAAATATTTTCCGGAAAATGTTTTCCAATTTTCCCATATTTGGTTGGCTTAAAATGTTTTGGAAAACATTTTACTCTTGAACTAATTTTCCTCCAATTGGAGGAAAATGTTTNTTTCAACGAAAAAGTAATTTCTTTTCATGATGTAGAAAAAGTATTTTCTTTCATTTCAACAAAATGATGAAGTAAAAAGTATTTGCTTTCATTTCAACAAAAAAAGTACTTTCTCTTCATGATGTAGAAAAAGTAATTTTTTTTTGTTTCAACAAGTAGTAAAAAATATTTTCTTTTATTTCACCAAAAAAAGTACTTTCTCTGATGTAGTAAAAAATATTTTCTTTTATTTCAACAAAATCAGTATTTTCTTTTCATGATGTGGAAAAAGTATTTTTTTTCATTTTAACAAAATGAGTACTTTTCTCATGTTATAGAAAAGAGTACTTTCTTTTTCAACCGAAAAAGAGTATTTTCTTTTTAGTTATGTAGTACAAATTTCAAAGTTATTTTTGCGTGAAAAAGTAAAGCAGTACATTTGTCCCTTTGGGCTTTGGGTTTGTGTGAATTTTTAGAGAATAATTAAATTCTTGAAGAAAATAGAGTCCCGAAATCGTTGGGTATTTGTGGTTGGGAGGGGGGAAGGGGTAGGTGAGGGGGGAGCACATGAAACATGGGGATTTGGGGGGAGGGGAGGGGGGATAAAGAAAGTAGCATAAAAAATTATTTTCCTAAAAAATATTTTCTACTCTCTAAACAAACACTAGAAAATATTTTCCGTAAAAAGTTTTTCATTCACCAACCAAATAAGGGAAAATAAGTGATAAAACACTCATTTTCCAAGAAAACATTTTTTAGGAAAACATTTTCCTTCATGCCAAACACACCCTATATCTGATAAGTTCTCCATTCAAGTCTCATATTATTCAACTAAATATGGTTTCACTTAATAGGACATTTATGAGATGGTATTTGGTAAATTTAGGATGTAGTGTATTTTAAATATGAAAGTTAGCAAATTAAGCATCTTTCTACTAGATTCGTGAAGTATATCTGTTCTTTTTCCTTTTGTGGTAATTTACTTTTATACTTACTTATTTGGTTTGAATTTCTAGGAGACAGAGTTGCTTAAGAGTGAGGTGCAAAAGGAAATTACGAGGAGCGAGGTAGATATTCTTCTGACCGCTAAATGTGGACAGAGTGGGGTTCAAAATTTTCTTCTGTTAATACTTGATTTGCATTATGGTTGTTTTCTTTTGGGAAAAGTAAGATACTGATTTTGCTGTTTTTCTTCATAAGGAGCTATGCAACTTATGGAGAAACAACTAAAATATTTGGTTTCCGTTGTGTGTCATCACGTTAAGTTGAATTTGTTGCACTCACCTAAAATTGGTTTATGTCCGCTTAATTAATGGGATCAGAAAATGACTTTGTCGAACATGAAGTCTTGCCTTTGCTTGTCTGATGTTCTGTGCGAGTTAGAAAACTTAGCAATCTTGCCTTTTATCCCAGTCAAATTTATAGAAGAAATTTGTTTGTTCTACTAGAGTAATGCTATAAAAATACTCTGTTGCAAGATCATAGGGCTTTGGTGTAGTGGTAAGAGTGCAACGCGTGATGTGTGGGTTAGGCACACGGCACGAGTTCGAACCCTGCAGCAGACAAAAGCCCTGGTATTTACTTGGAGAAGGATAGAGGAGGGTCGTTATCCACCCAGTTTCGAACCATGAGTCTTTGGTCCTCGGGGATTTCTCTAATATAAAAAAAATACTGTCACTAGCTCTCCTTGAATTCAGATTTTCCAGCCACAGCAATAGCCTAAGTAAGAATTTATGTCAACTGAAATTATGGTTTGCCTATGTGTTGCAGAAGCAAATTTCTAAAAGTCATATGCAGATATCCTCCAACACTCTTCATCACATTGCATAATATAGATTCTAAACTTACATTTGAAAAAGGAAGGCGGAACACATAGTCGGCCCCCATAACTTGGCACGATTTTTCGTTAAGACACCTCATCTTTTGGTCATAACTATTGAACACCTCACGTTGCTCAAATTTTGCTATTAAACAGCCTTGCTAATGTGGCAGATCGCGTGTATCTCAGTTAAAAGTGTGCCCATGTTGCCAGAAAACATGAAGTTTGCTGAAAAAGATTTTCCGGCCATCTTTTGGTGACAAATTTTTTCCTCTTTTCTCCGCCAATGCGATCACCTCCTCACTCGTAGATCCAGCTTCAACCAGCACCTCCTCACTCGTAGATCCAGCTTCAACCAGCACCTCCTCCTATTCTTCTTCATAGATCCAGCCACCATCACAAACACCATCTCTGCTTCCTCAGATCCAGCTACGATCACCGCCACCTTCTCCCCTTCTTGTTCTCAAATCCGATCACCACCACCTATTCCCTCTCTTTCTTTTAAAGGCCAGCCACCACCAGTCTTCTCCTCGTTCTTCTGAAATCCGATGAGACAACCATCACTGATCTAACCACCAAAGATTTGGCCACCGCCATAAATCTGGCCACCACTGAAGTTAGATTCAAACTAGCCAGTGAGCAGATAGACACTACTACTTCATGGAAGCGTGTCTCTTGAACAGCTCACTGACATGGCAAACCATGTTTTGCACTTACGCTTGAGTGCGTGAATAACTTAATTTAGGCCTTTTCTTTTTATTGTCCTCAGTTTCACTTTCCTCCTCCGTCAATATTCTCGATGTGGGCCGCACACTTCTATCCTTAATTTCTTTTACCGAAACTCAATCGTAAACCACCACGATGAATTGGCAGAACACTCTGCAGCCATGGAAAACCACCATCACTCTGTTCAGCTTTTGGGTGTATTCAAACCGTTTGCCATTCAAAATAGAGACAGACGAAACACTTTGCTTACAACCCATAAATAAGGTTTCTCTTTTCATTTCAATCTAAATTCATGGTGTTTCCTTTTCTATTGTTGTAGCAGTCTTCTTGTTTCTTCTTCTCACATAATCTATATCAAGGCTTAAGGTAGTTTAGGATTTTTCTTGGAACGCGTTGAATCGAACTTGGGTCTTTTCTAAATGAACCTCGAGTAAGCCAAAATTCCCAGGTCAAAAAAAGAATGGATTAATTTGATTACTACTCAATAGGCTTAAGGTGGTCCGGCTCTTTCCCGCACCCCACGCATAGCGGGAGCTTAGTGCAACGGGCTGCCCCTTTTACCCAATAGTCTTAAACTAAAAAAAGTTGAATTTCTGATTAGGAAATAGAGATTAACCGTTGAGGTGGGGGAATGGTGTGGAAATTGGAAATTTTACGAACGGAGTTGAAGAGGTGAAACTATGGCCCGGTAGAACGCTATTGATTTAGAAAGGGGGACGGTGGAGAAGACGATGAGGAAGAACCTAGGATGGGGGAAGGGGGTTCTAGTTTTGGACGAAGAAGCGGGGATGGGGAAGGTCTAGATGATAAAAAAGAACAAGTGGGGTTTTGGGATTTTCTCTTCTGTTTTTTCCTCAATTGTAATTTTCCAAAAATCAAAATTTGCAATTTTGAAAATGACAGGTGTCGATCACTGATTGGTTCATTTGACATGTCAACATCGAGTAAGTTTCATGCTGATGGTCTTATGGACACAAGTGTTCAAGAGGCACCTCCTCCAAGTAGAGGTGTCTATCTGGTCACTGGCTAAGTTTGAGTGTCTAACTTACAAAATGTGCCAAGTTGAAGGGGCTATCTACGTATTTAGCCTTTCCATTTCCTTTCTCATGCCCTAGTTTTTGGTGTAAGCAATCTAGGGTTTCCCCTTGAGCATTGCTAATAGCCGTATTAGCTTCTCTCGTAGCTCCCTTATACCATATGATATAAGGAAGAAAAAGAATGATCTGTAACATGTGAAAATTTGTTAGGTAGCTCATTTTCTTACTTTTCAGTTTTTAAGTCTTTAATGTAGTGTCCTCGATATACTTGTGTTCCGTTAATGAAAAGATAATGAACCTTCCTTAATTTGTACTGATCTACATGTTGGCGTGTGCTAATAGCTGAAGTGCTCTAAAATGGCTTGAAACATTAGTTGGAGTTTTGAAGAAACTGTTTTCTTGGAATAAGTGAATGAAAGAAGAGGGCATTAAAAGATGGGCTAAAGTTATATTTATTTTTTCCTTATCTTTTATCTGCATGAACCTGTTTAGAATCCATGATCTGGCTTATCTTTTGTAGGTTCTAATTCAGAAGCAAGTTTTCTCTGTCATTTATTTTTCAAGATTTTGATTATCATACTGGACATCAAAGATGTTCTCAGTGCTTTGATCTTCTGGGTATGTTTTTCAGGAGCAAACACCATATATCCAGCTTGCAATCCACGAGCAAGGTCAAACATCTGAATCAGGTTCTGATAGCGTAAAAATACCTAATGATGGATCTGATGACTGGGAAATTGATATCCGCCTGCTGAAATTTGAAAACAAAGTTGCATCTGGGTCATTTGGAGATCTGTATGATTCGACAATGCACATCTTGCTTTCTAGTTGAGTTTGTTTAGTCTGTAGATTTATACTGTGTCTTTTGCAGGTACAAAGGCACATACTGTAGCCAGGAAGTGGCTATAAAAGTTCTCAAGCCAGAACATTTGAATATGGATATGGTAAAAGAGTTCTCGCAGGAGGTCTTTATAATGAGGTGCGTCGTTCGTACTATCATGGTTGAGAATCCCTTTCAGGATAACCTCACTGTTGTTTGCATGTATCAGATAGAATCCTATCCATCCTTTTAAAGACTCTGTTTGAAGGATTGCTTTTTCTGCTGCTACTAGAGATAGCTGTACTCTGTTGAAAAATTTGCTCTCTACCACTAGAGAATTTTCTTGCAATATTTTACTCCCTCTGCCTAATTCGATCTTGTTTCCTTTATACTGTGTTGAGTTACTAGGTATTTCTCCTATAAGTGGCATTAAGCTATTTATTTGTTCCTTGGTAGCATTAAGCTATTTAGATTAGAAAAAAACGTGTCATAAATAATTCAAGGGACTAAGCTTTCCCAAAAGCAGTCAAAGTCTTGGAAGTAGTAACAAACTTTAAAAAATATGGATTTGTGCATGTGGATTTGAATTATCATTATTGATAATTATGTTATTTCATTAGTGATAATTATGTTATCTTTCCAGCTTCCTATTTCCTGTTTCTTTCATCAGTTTTTGTACTCCCACTGCTTGAGATTTTATCTGGTTTGTTTACCTCTTTTAGGAAAATTCGGCACAAACATGTTGTCCAATTTATAGGGGCATGCACACGACCTCCAAACCTGTGCATCGTGACTGGTATATTTCAAGATTTTATGTATTTGAACTGAATTACTATGTTTGTTAATAGTCTGGAGAACTTTTTGTTCTCTGTTGATTAATGTTACATAGTGTTCACCAGAAGATACATTATTTGACTGCTTTATAAGGCATGCTTTATTTTTTTGCTAAATTTTTAATCTTCTGCTACTTGAATGGCAGCTTATTTCCATTACTTTTAGGTGTCTACCCTGCTTCACGTAATTGACTATGTGCTTTTTACAATTTTATTGATCAGAGTTCATGTCCAGAGGAAGCATCTATACTTTTTTGCACAAGCAAAGAGGTGCATTTAAGCTTCCTACTCTCCTAAAGGTTGCAGTTGATGTTTCTAAGGGAATGAGTTATCTGCACCAGAATAACATAATTCATCGGGATCTGAAGACTGCCAATCTTCTGATGGATGAACATGGAGTAAGTCCGAGCTGGATCTCAACTCTTTTTAAAAGCTTGTCCAGTTGTCGTAAAGTTTTTTTCTTTGGAGTCTAGGGTATTATTTCATTTGTTACTAAGCTATCTTTGGGCCAGTATATCCATTCTCATGCAAAATTTATGTGCAATTAAAACCTGTAGGGAAATCAAGGTCAATATGCATTTAGCCCGGCAAAATACAGGGGAAAACTGTGTGTCATATGATTAGGCTATGGGAGTATAAGAGTATATAACAAATATGGAGATTTGTACGACTTAAAAGTCCATCAATGTTTTCCAGTGCTTAGTGTCACGTCCTTAGTTGTTAACTAAGTGCACGTGCGGCACTTGACAACTCACTCACGATCTTGCACAACTTGCTCACGTTCTTGCTATGTCAAGTCAGCCTTACTACACTCAAGATCGCTAAGAGAATGGAAGAAAGAACACAAGAGAATTGTTAAAGGAGGCTTTGTATTAGAGATAACTTGAATTGTTTGCTTGATTGATGAATTACAAATGAATGACCCCCTTTATATACTAGTTTTCTAGGGGCTAGTGTGTAAATATTAATTATTACACAAGTCCCTGATATTTACAAGATAAGGGCTTTTTCTAGAATTCTTTACAAGCCTAGAAGATTCCAAGTACTTTCCTAGCAAATCCATAAGGATCTAGGTTCTTCCTAAAGAAATGCCCATACCTCTCTAGAATCTTCTCACAAATGCTAGCCTTCTTCCNATGGTGTCCGCCCCGTGGACTCACTCCGCTGCAAGTTATAAGAGAATTGGGCAATGTCTAGGAGTCTTGCCCAATCTTTCTGATGCGTGCTTACATAATGCCTCAAGTAGCATTCCAGTAAAGCATTGACCCGTTCCGTTTGTCCATCCGTCTGTGGGTGAAAACTAGTAGAAAAGTGTAGTTCCGTGCCAAGTATGTCGAACAACTCTCTCCAAAAGTTCCCAGTGAAGCGGGGGTCTCGA